GGTCAGCTCGAGGGGGCCGGTCGGTATAGTGTGGTGTTTGGCTATTATACTGGGTGTTTCTGGGTTCTGAGTCTTTTTTCTTTTCTCTAGGGGCGGGGTTTTTGGTTATGGGATCTTGCTGGGCGGCTAGGGAATCCTCAGCATTCATGTATTTTTGGGCTTTGGAGAGTAGGGCTGCCATGGAGGTCGGGGGATTTTTAGAGAGAGAGAACAAGAAGTCGGAGGACCGCAGACCGGCCATGAAAGCAGTGAGGATGACCTTGTCATCATTTTTCGCTACTTGCAGGGCCTCGGTGTTGAAGCGGGTAACAAAACTGCGTAGCGACTCCCCCTCGGTTTGTCGAATGTTGAGGAGTTAGGTTGCGGGGCGTCGCTGGCACTGGGCTCCAATAAAATGGCTAAGGAAGGAGTCACTGAGATGCTGGAAAGTGGAAACGGAGTATGCTGGTAACTGGCTAAACCACAGCCGAGCTGACCCCTTCAGTGTCACGACGAAAGCTCGACACATGATCTCGTCAGGGAATGCATGGAGGATCATAAGGGTTCTGTAGGTCTTCAGATGGTCGACTAGGTCCGTCGTACCATCAAAAGAGTCGTTGGTAGGCATCTTGAACTTGGGGGGTAGAGGTTTGTCGCGGATGGAGGCGACAAATGGTGAGTTTGCTGTGGTAGAGGGTTTATGCTGGATGTTCTGCATGACCCCTTGGAGTTGGAGCTTCATGGGTAGGAGTTCCGCGTCCCAGAGAGGGATGTGGTCACCTCCGGAGGGCAACGAGGGCTGGACGCTGCTAGCCTCTCCTTCAAGGATTGGTGGCGGGATCGATGGTTGTGGGCCCCGGGGTGGTAGGTTTATACCTGGAGGAGGGGGTTGCAAGCCTTCTTTGTTGGGCGGATCAGGCTGCGGAATAGTATGGCTCCGGGCTTGTTCGTAGTTAGGAGGAATATCGGGAGGTGGTGGAGGGGGCATAGGAAGGTTTCTTTGGAGTAGGGCATTGATCAGGGCTTGGTTTTGCTCGGCCATGCGGTTAATACTGTTGGTAAGCTCGATGAAATATTGTGGTGGGTTGTTTGGATTAGGGGGGTTGGCTTAGTGGTCGGCAGCATTTTGGTGAGAAGCCATAGATCTAGTCGTGACCATACACTTCGATGGGTAGCGAAAAAGGGTTATTGGAACACGGTCGCCGGCGACAGTGAACACAACTGGCGCGAGGAGCAAAGCTTTTCCACTGACGTGACTAGCTTCTCGCGCCCCAGTAAGATATTGTCCGCTCTGGTGAGGTGGCGAAACAACGCCTGTCGGCCTCACGGCGTCAAAAAGCCTCTTACAAGGTGGAGGGGGCCAGTATGCTTATAAGTTGGTTGCAAGTGTCCCTCCCAGGCGATGTGGGATTGCCCCAACATAACCCCCCAGCGGACTGGGCCGCGAACAACGGGAGAGTTTGCCGAACGAGTTGCATGGGCCACCAAACTGACGTGACTGGCTTCTCGCGCCCCGATAAGATATTGTCCGCTCCGGCGAGGTGGCGAAACGACGCCCGTCGGCCTCACGGCTTTAAAAGGCCTCTTACAAGGTGGAGGGAGCTAGTACGCTTATAAGTTGGTTGCAAGTGTCCCTCCCAGGCGATGTGGGATTGCCCCAACAAAGCCAAAAAAAGAAAAAGAAGAAGAAGAAAGAGAAGAAGAAGAAAGTAATGTCTCTTTATTTATGACTTTCAAATATAAAGTTTGTCAAATATATAAAATAAAAAATAGAAAGTATACCAATCCATTTTAAATTCAAATTTGAGAGGCATTAAATATGAAAATCATTTCATTAATTTAAATTTAAGATTATAAGGATTTATCCCATAATGTATAAGTTTTAAATAATGATCTATTCCATAATTTATTTAAATATCCATATACTATTATAATTGCAAAATATTGTCATTTCATTAAAGTTGGAAGTTATAATTCTTTTTTCTCATTTTTTTATATCTTGTTTAATTTTTTGTTAATACGTGCTACAATATGATTGGTTTATAAATTAATTATATATATTCTTAAAATAAAATTTCAAATTTGAATTATTACTTAAATTATGTTACTATAATTGGAATGAGATCAATATTCATCTCTTAAATTTTGCATCTTTTATTAAATTATAAAATAAAATTTCAAATTTAAATTCTTCTTCAAATTATATTACTATAATTAGAATGTAATCAATATTCACATGTGTCATAATATTATTGGTCTAAATATAATTTGTTTTAAATACATGTGTTCAAATTATTAATCGCTATTATTTTTTTTCTTTTTTTTTGTTTTAAATTTTATAAAAAAAATTATATCCTTCTAAGTTATAAGGACTTGAACAATAATATTTTTTAATACAATTTTTTTTTTTGAAAAAAAGAATAAAACATTACTTTTTTAGTACTTACCAAACATGGTGGATTTTGTTAGAATTTTTTTTTTAATCTCAATTGCCAATTAAAAAAATTAAAATAAAGAATAAACATATCTTTGGCACAAATTATTAAAAAGTTACTTTTGCTAAAATACATTAGAAAGAAAAGTTAATTTTTTTTATTAAAAGTGATAGTTCGTTAAACTTTTTTTTTTTTATTAAACTTTCTTTTGTTCATTAATATTAAACTTTTAATTAATTTTATTTATTATTTTAAAAAATAAATTAGCAAATAATTTGTATATTTATATATATATACTTTTGTTTTTGTTGCTCAAGTTATTTGATGTTTTTGTCCAAATCCACTCAAATTTAATTTGAAATTTTAAATTTCTGCATAGGTCATCACTTAATTAAAAACTATATTGTTCAAATTTTTAAAAGTTTTTAAGCTTGACTCAAGTTGTTTGGGTTGAACTCACCGAAGTTTGCAATTCTAGTAGGGAGTTGAAAGTTACATGATTAAATTTGTGACAAATTAAAAAATAAAAAATAAATTGTGATAAAATTATGAGACTTAAATTGTAAATTTCAATCTTCTTTATTTTTTTGCATACAAAAATTTAACTATTTATATTATTATGTATAAAAATAGATTATTAATTTTTTTACATGCCGTGCATAGCACGGGTTACTTCTAGTTTTTGATAATATATATGCATACTAATATCCAAGAATACCTATGATCCACGACAGTTCGGTAGAAAACTGTACACGATGAGCTCAAATGTGAAAACTGTACACGATGAGCTCAAATGTTGAAAGAAAACATGTACATCGTAGCCGAGGTTGCTAAGCCAAATAGTCTAAAATCCAAAGTTAGGTACAAGATTTTTTATTGATGGATGCTATTAATTTTTGGTGTCGAAATTTCTGATATATTTGGCCCTTTAAACGCTTCAATCAATTGGCGATCCAAACTTGAACAGCAAGGCTTCGAGGAAACAGCTTTTTACCTAATTCACATTACAAGTCTAGACAAACCATTAGAGGAAGAGACAATTCTATACTAAGAGTGTGTTTGTTTTGAGTGATTATTTTTTGGGGCGCTTAATCTGTTAAAATTGTTCAATCCGCATTGATTTATAATAATTTATTCATTGACTACGGATTAAATTTTAAAATTTATAATACGTCTTCGTAACTGTTTCGCTTTGTTATAATTAATACATGTAGTTTGATTTTGATTATTTTTTAAAAAATTAAAATTTTTGTTTTTCTTGTTTTTTGGTTGTAGTAATTTTTTTTTTAATATCTTAAGTAAATTTTTTACTTTCTAAAGGTACACAATGTAGATAAACGTAAAAAGTAAAATATTTATAAAAAAATATTTAAAAATTTCAATAAATACGAAAATATATTGAATTTATATATATTTTTAATATATTTTTTTGTATTTGATGAATTTTTATTTTTTTTCATAAGTATTATACTTTTTAAATGTATTTAGATTAAGTGCATCTAAAAATTAAAAAAATTTCTTAAATTATTAAAATTTTTGACTAAAAATAAAAAAAAACCACGAAAAACAAAAAAACTTAATTTTCTGAAAGTGGATTCAATTTTCTAAAACTAAACAATGTGATTATTTTTTTAAGGTTTGGCTTCTCTCAAGTTGAGATCAACTTGAGACAACAATTGGGCTTGGTAGGCCGATTTTGGAACTAATTTCAGTGATCCGAACCATTCCCTTTATAGGACTCATTGAATAGAATATTCATGCAAAAAATCAAGATGATCAGATATCAATAGTTATATGTTTGAATTAAATTTGCATTACAAAATATGGATAACTATTCTTGAAATTATATTTTTGTAAAGCAAATATGATTCAAACATATAGCTATCGATATCTAATCATCTTTATTTTTACATGAATATTCTGCTCAACGAGTCCTAAAAGGTGAACGGCTTGGATCACCGAAATCAGTTCCAAAATGAGTCTATCTAAATATCAAAGTAAAAATAAATGTGAAAAAAATTTAAAATGTTAAATTTGTTACAAATTAGTAATTGCAAGTCTTGCAATAGTTCTATTAAACCAAACTTTCTAATACATTAAGGCATGGTAAAACAAAAAAAAATAATAATAAGAGGAATCAACAAAGCTAGTTGGTTTGGTCTGAACCATGCACCTCATTAAGGTTTTAATATTTTAAATTGAATGTATTAAGTGATAATCAATTAAGCGCATTTGATAATCATAATTGATATCACTTAAAATTTTAAGGATCTCTTAAAATGTAGGTTAAAACTTAAGAAAATTTTAAATCATATAAAACTTATTTAATTCTAACTGAATTTATAAAGGGAAAATCGGTCTAAGGTCCCTATCCAACTTTTAGTAATAGATTAGGTCCACAATCTATTCTTTTGTAGTCTAAGGTCCTCCCTCACCCATACCCATATATAACACTCACTCTCTCATTCTCTCTCCTCTCTCTTTTTGCACCAAACAACCCCTCTCTCTCTTCTCTTCGTCCTCAACATTCTTCGGAGCTTCACCACCGCCCCAACATTATACACAGACTTTGAGATCAATTCATTCTCAACAATTATACACATACTTTGAAATCAAATGCATAGATAGAGAGAGAAAGAGAACACAGGTAATTGCTTCCTCCTTGTTCCAATACTCAGCATCCACCTTACACTTCTCAAAGAAATCAGCAACCTTGTTGCTCGATTCATCATCGTTGTTAGGATCGACATGGAAACCCGAGACCCCATCAACAATAATCTCTGCCGGTCCTCCTTGATTGGTCGCAAAAGTTGGTAATCCACAGTTCATAGCTTCAATAACTGTCAGACCAAAAGCCTCATAAAATGCAGGCTGCACAAAAGCCCCCTTTGTATCAGCAATACACCGATACAGCTCCCCATTGCGGTACCTATCAGTCTGAGCTGCTATCCATCTGATCTGACCCTTGAGTTGGTATTTTTCAATCAAAGTATGCATTTTATTTATTTCTGCAATTTCTTCCCTATCTTTCGATTTTGATGGATCAAAAAACCCTGCCACAACGACAAGATTCGCCAAGTTCCTAAGCCTTTTGTTCTTCCCATACCACTCAACCAATCCAATAATGTTCTTCACCGTGTCAAGCCTTGCCATCGAAAAGATGATTGGTTTCTTCTTGTCTGCCAGAAATCCTCTGTTCCAAACTCAGTTTCAGATTTAACACCAAAAGTTCATTAATTTTTTATTTTTTATTTTTTATTTTTTATTTTTTTAGGTATAAACGAGGGTTGGGATATGAGATGAGTGGAATGGATAGACTTACATGTGTTCGTTGTTATCCTTGTTAGCATAGAGTAGTTCTTCAATGGCAGGATGAAATGATGTGAATCGCTTGTTTTTCTCTGTGCAGGGAAAGTAGACTGCTTGTTCAGCCCCTGGGGCGGCAATGTTGAACTTTGGATCAAAGACGTTGATGCCTAAAACTACTCTGCAAAGGGCTGGCATTGTAAATGCCTGGTGGCTTTCATAAAGACTTTTGGTTAGTGACGTTTGGTGAAGTTACTGGACAGAGCCACACAAATTTCTCTGGATAGCTTCATATCTGTTTTTTTTGTTTTTTTGTTCAATTTTCTCTGGTTTGATCAAAAACGCAAATTTTTTCTATACAATTTTCTCTGGATAGAGCGACACAAGGCCACACAAATTTTCTGTACACAAATTTTTTTTGGATAGAGCCATACAAAGTCACACAAATTTTATCTAACACAATTTTCTCTGGATAGAGTCACACAAAGCCACACAAATTTTCTCTGGATAAAACCACACAAAGCCACACAAATTTTCTTTACACAATTTGCTGCCAATGTGAGTCACTAAAATCAGCATCTCCCTCAAACATTAAGGTGAAATCCACTTCTACAGTGAAGTAGAGGGACTAACCTACTATTTGTAGTTCTATTTAATGAGCCAACTATATTCTTAAGTTGATTCTTGTCTGCCTATAGCAACAGCAGCTATTGCATCTGGTCATGCCCAGAGAAATTCTTTGGGTTGAGAGAATTTCTCTGGCTGGGAATTTTCTCTGGATTGTGGAGTCCAGAGAAATTCTCTGGGTGGGAGAATCTCTGAAAATGTATGTCTGAGAACTTCTTTGGGTTTGGGGAGTTTAGAGAAACAGAATCCCTTTTCTTTCCCCCCCTCTTCACAACAGCTTCCTCCATACCTTCTCCCTTTCCTTCCCTTTTCTCCCCTTCCACCTAATTGGCAGTCATAGTTATATATATATATATATATATTCACAATTCCCAGAGAAATTTGAATTTTCTTTGGGTTGAATCCAGAGAAATTAGAATTTCTCTGGATGAAATTTCTCTGGATCAATTTTCTCTGGGTTGAATCCAGAGAAATTCATAATTTCTCTGGATGAAATTTCTCTGGATCAATTTTCTCTGGACCAATTTTCTCTGGACTAATTTTCTTTGGACCAATTTTCTCTGGATCAACCTGAGGGACCTTAGACATTATGAAAATATTTGGTGTCCTTTATGCTAGAAAATGTTAATACCAGGGACCTTAAAAAAAAAACCCCATTTATAAATGCTAAACATAAGTATCGATATATATATACATATATTATAAACTCACCACCACCACCATTAACGCTACCATGCCACCACGACCACGACCACCATCACCATCACCATCACCATCACCATCACCATCACCATCACCAACACCATTACCACCATCATCACAATATAAAAATTAAAATATACAACTTAAAATAATAATTTTCAAATTTTATCTTGTACATATCAAATTATTTGTCTTTAACAGTTCTGATTGCTAGCTCGAAAGGAAGACGACTAGAATGGCCCGAGTCCAAAACGACATCGTTTTGGAATTTTTTTTTTCTCTCTTTCCTCTTTGAAGATGAAGAACACACACACAGAGAAAGAGAGAGAAGAGGAATCTGGGTGTTCATCTTCATCAACATCTTCATCAACACATCATCATCATCAACAGCGACATCTTCATGAACATCATCATCATCATCATAATCATCATCAAACACATCATCATCATCAACAACGTCTTCATCAACATCATCATCACAACATCTTCATCAACATTGTCATCATCATCATCATCAACAACATCATCATCATCAACATCCATCGATTTTGTGAAATCCATATCCATCGATTTCGATGAAATCGATCGATTTCAAACCCTGAAAGAAGAAGAAGAAGAAGAAGAAGAAGAAGAAGAAGAAGAAACTCAGTCTCTGCTGGAGCTCTCTCTCTCTTCTCTCTCTTTCTTCTCTCTTTTTCTTTTTCTCTTCCTCTCTCTCTCTCTCTTCCTCTATTTTCAGAGATCTAATAGAAAAAAAAAAAAAAACACTGCAATCGGGCCCACTGCCCAAAACGACGTCGTTTTGGACAATCGGGCCATTCGAGCCAAAAGATTTTCAAGCTACGAATCATTTTTCGGTCTTTAATTCAATACTTAAATTTTTATCAAATAACTTTTTAACTTAAAAAATTCAGCATTCACTTTTTAATACTTAATTTTTAATTTTTAACTTTCATATTTCAGCTTTATCTAACCACCTTATCATCTGTATAGCCAATTAATTTGAGTATTTCGTAGTTGAGAGTATACCATCTTGGGTAAATGCATGTATCGTAGTAAGAGTACCACTGATAGTTTAGGCTTCACTTTGATAAATAATAGTATTTATTACCGAATTTATTTTGTTATACTTTTTTACCTCCCGCCATTATATGTACATATAAAACTCAATTACTCTTGGTATATAAAATTGACATCTATTATTTATATTTCTCTCTCCTTATCCTACAGTTTAAATAATAATAATAATAAACAGATCTATTAAGTTCTAAGTAGCCAAGCTGAAAATAATATATATATATATAATCGATAAAGCTGTCAATAATATATATACCAGCTGTGGGGAAGTATTTTTTGAATGAGAGCACGTAGCTAAGGTGACGCCGAAGTATTAGCCAAGGTGCCACGTGGCTTAGTCACGCTTGCCAAGGTGATCTCGGCTAGGTCGAGATTATCTACGGAGATGTCAAAATTCGAGATAAACAGATAAGGGACGAAAGTCCTAGAACATGGGAGGATCTCAGTCTGGATAAGGATAAGGCTCAAGGAGAGTTTATCCCTATCTAGCTGAGGGTCCAGGATAAGCATTGAGCCTGCGTCTATTGAAGTGAGGCTTCTAAAGGGATTACGTCACGGCTGGTTATAAAAGCAAGGCACCCTCGTGGGTCCGAGGTAAGTTATTTCTTGTAAGTTTTCAGTGCTATTTGCTATCTAATAGAGATATTGATTACTTACTTGATCGTTGAAGTGGCCCCGGGTAGACGAACCATCGCCGGATTCTCATCTTCTTGTTACAGGTTGTTGGGCTTAATCTATTCTATCGATGCTCTCTGGCTGAGTTCCCCTTTTGGTTGTGTGGTCGGAAATCAACACCCACAATTTGGTGCCATCTGTGGGAACTTAAGAAGAATAGATGGCCAATAACGGGCGAGAAGAAAAGATTGGGGACGACATCCACAGTGAGAGTGGTGAGCATGTAGATCCCAACGTCAGGGAACAAAATCGTAATGAAGGAGCACATAATCCAAATCTTGAGGAGAAGGACGTCAGCAAAGAGGGTAATGCCCCGAAGGAAGGAAGCTGAGATGAGTATTACAACGAAAGCAACCTCCAGGTATGGAATAATAGATGCCTGAGGAGGGACGACGAGATGAAAGGGATGACAAACAAGTTGGCAGACCTACAGTCGGTTGTCAACTTCATGATGCAAAACAATGTTATGCAACCACCATCCCCGTTGCAGGACACGCCGGTGCCAGCGGCCAAGACCGATGCCCAGAAAGGAGGGCAGAAAACAATCCCAGTAGTCCCGTAACATGGTAAGGGACAAGAGCACTCACATCGGCTGTCACGGGATGTCGAGCGGACAGAGACTGTACGTGGTAAGTCGTAGAAGACACCACAAACCAAGGGGACCTATGTCAAAGAACCTCGCCACATCTAGGGGAAAGGCCTTTGTTTTGCTACAGTGAATGAGAAGAAGTCCAAGAAGATGCACCATTACACAGGGAGCAGCGCGCCAAAAAGGCTGAAATCTGTTGATAGCCGAGCTCTCGGTCGAACAAAGGAGGATTTGAGAGACTACCTCCAGAGGAAGCGACACAACGTCGAGATCACTTGCTCATAGGGCCATAACTCAGGGATACTGGTTGCCTTACATGTAGAAGGATGCTGAAGCCTACGTAAGGAAATGCAAGAAGTGTCAAAGGTTTGCATCTTTGATACATCAGCTAACTGCAGACCTGAATCCAGAATCCAGTTTCTGGCCATTTGCCCAGTGGGGCATGGATCTTGTTGGGCAATTACCCCAGGCAACTGGACAAAGAAAGTTTTTCCTAGTAGCCACAAACTACATTGCAAAGTGGGTAGAGGCTGAACCTCTTGCAAAGATTCGAGATATTGATATGAAGAACTTCATCTGGAAGAATATAATCACCAGGTTTGGAATTCCAAGAGCCATTGTGGCAGATAATGGCACCTAGTTTGACAATAAACTGATCAAAAGCTTTTGTGCAAAGTATAAGATTAAGAGCTATTATTCTATCCCCAGCTTCCCCCAGGGAAATGGTCAGGCAGAGACATCCAACAAGACCATCTAGGATGGAATTAAGAAGAGGCCAGAAGTAGCCAAGAATTACTTAATGTGCCGTAGGCATATCGGACTACGCCGACAAAATCAACTGGAGAGTCTCTTTTTGCCATGACATATGGCACAAAAGCAGTCATCCCACTAGAGATCGGCATCCTTAGAATCAGAACCCAAGGAGTGGAGACTGGAATGAACGAGGCATTCCTTGCCCGAGATCTGGATCTACTGGAAAAACGAAGAGAGAGAGAGAGCATCAATTCGGCTGGGGGCATACCAGTAACAGCTTGCTAGGACTTACAACAAAAAGGTTAACCCAATGGAGTTCAAGGTTGGGGACCTCGTCCTTAGAAAAGTCGTCGGCAATAAGAAGGATCCCAGGGAGGGCAAGCTTGGCCCAAACTGGGAAGAGCCTTATCGAATCATCTTGATCGTCAGAAACGGTGCATATCGACTGGAAGATAGTAATGGCAAGGAGTTGTCAAGACCCTAGAATACTTGCAATCTGAAGTTTTTCTACCATTAGTTTTTGATTTTTTAAGATTTATGTAATTATTTTATTAGCCGGAGTTTTAATAAAACACCAGCTTGATTTTGTTTTTATTATTATTGAAATTTGTACGATAAGACTAAACAGTCTTATGATGATATTTTCGAATGAAACATGATGAATAACTTAGACTTGCCATATGGTAGAGTTGAACTAAGTTGGCGATGTTTTCGAATGAAACATGACAAATAACTTAGACTTGCCTATGGTGGAGTTGAACTAAGTTGGCGATGTTTCCGAATGAAACATGACGAATAACTTAGATTTGCCATATGGTAGAGTTGAACTCAACTTACTATATGGTAGAGTTGAACTAAGTTGGGGATGTTTCCGAATGAAACCTGACGAATAACTTAGACTTGCCATAATGGTAGAGTTGAACTAAGTTTGATCTGGTCAGATTGACATCGACACCAAGATAGAAAACCTCGGCTCAGATTTGTCTGAATCAGACTTCAGCAAAAATTGGAGATGCATGCTTCATGTGAACATAAGTGGTACTTAGGTTCACATTAGGGGACAGGAAATGAGAGTGAGCATAACACTTGCGAAATTTTTTGAAAAAATTTGCAAATTGATTGTGGTGGCTGAGTATAAAAGGCCACGACTTAGTGGAGCCGCATGTAAGTCAGCTCTTAAAGACCGATGAACTGTAGTTCGCCTAGGCCGAATAAGCCTACGTTATGGCCGAGTAGACCGTAGATCATATGACGTAATTGAGGGCCCAGCTGTGAGGACAAGGTTTCCATAAATGAGAAAGTGGGCCCTAGAAGAGTACTATAAAAGGAGGAGCATCAGCTAGAAGGAAGGTATGTGAGAAAAAGCTAATAACTTGTAATAGAAGAAAACTTGAGAGTATACTGACTTGCCTATCGGAATGTTGATTCCAGCACCCTTGACCGTAGTGTTCATTCTTATTTCAGGTATCATCGCGAGGCTCAAAGTCATCTGCTTCGATCAGGAGAGTATTATAAAACCACGTAACCACAATTGGCTCCATCTGTAGGAATACTCAAACACAATCATGGCAGATGTAGCAAACGATCCTCCGTTCGTTGTCGACGATGATACATCAAGAGATGACGTTACACCAAGAACTATGCTTGGTCCGAACTGCGCGTCTTCGGCGATTTGCTCATCGACGTCAGAACCATCAACACCAATATCTCTTAGGCTTTTGAAACTAGGGAATATAAGTGCAGTCAGATGTTGTTCGCCTCTCAGCACGGCGATATGGTCAGCAGCCGAGAAGGTGGCGTAGGTGGGGTCATACCTCAACAGAACATGGGCTACGCACCCTTGCCCTTGAAAGTTGGCACGGCCTTTGTAGTTAAGAGTAACTTTCACTTGCGCAAGAATGGCTTCGTCTGCTGATGTCAACGCCCTTTTTAAATAATTACCTGCATGACAAGCATAGATCAATACAAAATTTATGCTGAATTCACAGTTTACAGAAATGATATCATAACAATCTAGTCAGCCATCTGGCTCCTTTTTTTGCCTTGACACTGGGTCTTAGCGATCTTCTCCTTCGCTGAATTCCCAATTGCCTTGGACGGCTACCATGTCATCATTAACCCTCTTTCTAGAGCTGGCAAGCATGGTCACCCAGTGATGATCTATGTCTTTAGCTTTTAGGAAGTAACGGTCCTGTCGACTGGGCAACTTCGCCATGACGTAACAGTGCCGAATAGTTGGGATTCCTAGGTTAAGTCCTAATTCTACTATTCCCATGATTATGCAGTAGAAGTTCACGTTAGGTTGGGAGGGAATAAGACCCCAGTAACGCAGGATCAACCAAAGAAGGGGAATGAGGGAAAATGGGACTTCACCCTCAACGATAGACAAAAGGGGGGAAATAATAGTGTTTGTATCAGCCCATTCCATGTCGAACACACTGTTTACAACAAGAGACAAGTGTACATCGTCTGGAATTGAAAAATGAAAATGGAAGGCTGAGACTCGTTCCTTTGAGAGGAGGGCTTTCAAATGTCTTGCCATCGAATACGGAATATGAACCAAATGTGTACTAAATAAAAACAAAACAAGCAAGGGATTGGAATGAGAACTGAATGAAAAGAGAAAGGGGAACTTACAGGTTGAAAGAAAAGATGAATAGTAGAAAGCGAAATCATAGAGGTCGCAAAGAAGGTCTACGAAAAGGATGCTAGAAGAAGTTGAAAGTCTCTCGAGCTAAAAATATATGGAAGAACAGTTTTCAAATCAAACATTAAATGATTGTCAAATGCGAAGGGGTGGGAAGTTGAAATGATTGCGATATGGCACCTGTTTTGGCAAATCAGTACCAAAAGGAGTGTAACCACCGTATTCCTGACTTTCAAAGGTTTTTCTGACTTGAAAGCCAAAAGTCACCAACCAAACATGCTGATCATTATAATCTAACTCGAATGTTTGGGGAGCAATTGTGGTGGCCGAGTATAAAAAGCCACAATTTAGTGGAGTAGTATGTAAGTCGGCTCTTAAGGGCTGATGAATCGTAGTTCGCCTCGGCTAAATAAGCCTATCTTTATGGCCGAGTAGGCTGTAGATCATATGGTGTAATTGAGGGCCCAGCTGTGAGGGCAGGGTTTCCATAAATGAGAAAGTGGGCCCCAAAAGAGTATTATAAAAGGAGGAACATCAGCTAAAAGGAAGGTATGTGAGAAAAAGCTAACAACTTGTAATAGAAGAAAACTTGAGAGTATACTAACTTGCCCATTGGAGTGCTGATTCTGGTACCCCTGATCGTAGTGTTCATTCTTATTTCAGGTATCACCATGAGGCTCAAAGTCATCTACTTGGATCAAAAGAGTATTAGCAAACCACGTAACCACATTGATGTTATCTGAGATCATTGACAAGTGATACTATCCGAGATAAGTCAATCCGAGATGACAGTACTGTACTATACCCGATGTGTAATTGTCTGAGACACCCAGCCAATGTGCTAGACTTGGAAGGGTGAAGCCTTGCCAAAGGACAACAAGTACAAGTGAAGAGACAACACTTGTAAAAATATTTGATAAAATATTTTGAAGTGATGTTTGGTCGAGAAAAACAGTAAAGGTTTTTGTCCAAGGAGATTAGAATGTTCTACCTCGAGGTATGAGTGTATCTAAGGTCCCCAAGATGAG